TCTTCCCTTTCTTTTTCTAATGTCTTTCTTCCCTTTCTTTTTCTAACTGCATTTTCTCTAGTTCAAATTTAAATTGAAGTTCAAGCTCTTTTATCTTTATTTCTAGGTGTGTTTCAACAATCTGAGAAAGTTCATCTTCTCCAAAAATATCTTCATCCACAAAATACTGAACCAGAAGATTTTTAATTTCTTGTTTACGCATGACAGATTTAATTTCTGATAAATTATAGTTTTTTTGAAAGATCGAGCAAATCAATTTTCCTAGCCAAATCTAATACCTCCTGGGAAGGTTCTGCTACAAACTTTTCTAAATCAAAATACATGACTGCTTGCTGCTGGTTTTAAACTTAAATTTGTTTTAAAAAAATTCAGAATTTAAAAAGCACACTTAATAGAACAACTATGAAATCAACTCAGATGAGTAAATACGGTAATAATAAAATGTAAAATAAACAGTTATAATTTCCAATAATGTAGCCAAAAATAAATATTTAATCAAGGACGAGCCCCTAATTTCTGTTACGAGCCAGGCGTAACGAGAAAGAAAAGCCAGCAACAAACTTGTAACAATAACAAATTTATTACAGAAAAAATATTAAATAAAAATAAAATAACCAATTATGTTTACAAATACCTGAAGTCCAAATAAAAATGAAATCTCAAATGTCTAGTCTGATCCTGGAATGATCCTTTTTTAAATAACACATTTTAAATCCAAGTAAAATCCAAGAACACTTTAGAATAAATTCCCACAATAAAATTTACAAGAATAATTTTAACTATTTTAAAATAATCCAAGCTTCAATAAATCACTTAATATCCAAGTTGAATAATACTCCAAATATATTGATGACTTTAAAGGTAACTGATGACTTAAAAATTCACTGATGACTTAAAAGATAACTGATGACTTAAAAGGATAAAAGTAATGAAAAATGTCCCTTTATATATATTAACTAAGAAAATTCGAGAAAAGTCTATTATGTTCTACAGTTATCATAATCTTGCAACTTCAACAATAAAGAACATTCCGGAAGTTTCTATCTAAATATAATGCATGAATCATAATCTAGTATTTTCTACAACAGGTAAGAAACTTCTTGTTGACATGCATGTAGTTAATGTTCTAAAAATAGAACAATGATTATATTGGAAATACCAACTGGTCAGATATAAATTATATACATGTCATATGTTGCATACATAACACTATATTTATTAATCTATCGAGTACATGCTTTCGTTGATCTTGAAATACATATCGAATAATGGTCACTTAATGAGGTTTCAAAAGCAAACGATTCAATAATATATCTACTACTGTTTGTATAAACATGATCTATAATTTTTTGGGTACGTTCTGTTATCCTGGTAGGATCAGTGATCAGTTGTTTCAAACCATATTTCGTTATCAAATCACCCCATTTTGTATTGTCATATTTTTTCTTTTTATTAATTGGATAAAGTTTATATCGACATCTCCTAGAAATGAAATTCTATATTTGATATATTTATTATACTTAGTTATTTCTCATACCGTCAATCCAAGAATGGAGTTCATTTAGTGGGCGATATATAAAATTTAAAAGTAAAGGTTTGCAATTTGGGTAAATAATTTCCAACCAAACAGATTATAATTCGTCCGTTTCTATATCGTAAAGGCGCCGATATGGCATCTTGTCAGCAATATATATTATATTTACACAGCCTTTGTGACAACTTTTACGGTCCTTTCTTTCATGTGTGATTTTTTCATATTTAATTCATCGTCTGTTGTATATCACTAAGAAATGTCTCAGTAAAGCCGAAAGTATCAGGCGAATTTGATTTGTTTAATAGATTGTATTTTATTTCGTCTATTTTGGACATAAAGTGATTTATGTTAAGGTGTGCAATATGTAAACTTAAAATTGAACAATTTATTATCTGGAAAGTTTGATTTATGGAGCGTGGCATCCAAGTAAATCTTGACATTATTTAGTACTTTGCAATTATATTCATCATTTCCGTATTTAATAAATTATTGACAACTAATGCATGTTTGTTTATTTGTTATTATTATTTATTAAATAATTATAATTAATAGAAAAATGATCAAATCATGAAACAAATTTAGCAAAGAAATTAAGCAGGACGCCCGGTGTTTAATTGTAATGTATCAGATGATTATATAGAGGATATTTGTTTGTTTTGCATGTAAGATTCAAATATAATTTCTCTTAGTGAACACCAGATGCAATATTTTCACGAGTGGCGTAGCCACGAGTGAAGATATAATAGCTGGTGTTCACGAATGAAATATATTTCAATCTTATATGTAAAACAAAACAAAAAATCTTTTTATTTTATGCTTTTTAAGTGATTTTAAGTATTTATACTGATTTTGCCGCGTAACGTCGCGCATTTTCTTTTTTGACGTCATAACAACATGACATCACATCATCAATTTTGAAATATAATTCTGTTAAATGTCACTTACTTTGTTACATTTTTAACATGATGTATGGTGACATCGACTTTTTTTCCTAAAGAAGCAAAATTTACGTACGCATGACGGCATTTATTTTCTAAAATTCTATTTTATTTATTCAAAAAAATCAATGGCCGCAAAAGGTATTTTTCTTCATCACTTGCAGAATATTTACTTTTGAAACTTTTTGACAAATACAACTTCTTAAATCACATGTGCCTAGACGGTCGTGGTTTCTTTTCTCTGTAAAGCTGTGGTCTCACTTACTCCCGGCAGAGCCCAAGACCACCGTGGTAAGTTACTGGGATGATCTGGGGTGAAATTATTGTTGCGGTCACACTTACCCCTGGACATTTCTAACGGGAGTAAAATTTCATACAGTGATACTATGTCCCCAATTATTTTCATTAGTTTTGTATTTTATTGATACTTAAAATTGCTTTAAGCACGTGATCAAATCAAACTGATTAGAACTCTCCCCTTCATTAAAATCTTTTGAAGTGTAAACTGACAATTTGCGATGTTATGAACATCGAGCTTATAGCAAATTAATTATTCTTATCTGTTTACTTGAAAGGAAAACGTTAATAGAATATATATCAGCAGGGACTTCACAATTCCTAAATCTCATTAATATGTTTTATTTTTAAACTATTATATAACAATTAACATCATGCAATTATACTGATTTTCTTTGATGTTGCCTTTTATTCAAATTCATTTTATCTATAGAGAATTATCATAAACAATCGGGAGAATTGAGTCAGTTATATATATCTCACTATTATATCTAGTTTCTAATCGTTTTGTTGAAAAAAGTTAAAGATAAAATGTATACACTAAAATGAACTTTGGTGGCGTGGACGGTAACTTGTACTATCCAGTTCCGTCACTGAGCAGACTCAGTTTGTCATTTTAGAGATTCCGATTTTTCTATCCTATTGTAGTAGAGACAGATTTTGTTTTTGAGGACTGTATTAACTTTTAAGTCATCTCATACTACAAATTGAACAACAACGTATACAGTTTTCATAATTTTATTTATCATATCACTTTATGCATAACCAAGAAAAATACTTTGTAAAATGTAATTCCTTTTATTGTCACTTTTTATAAAATAGATTTAATTTTTCTTTAACAGTTTACCCTAGCACTTTTCGTTTCGTTCTCACTGTTCAACAATGTGCGATCGCTTATATACTGTCTGAAAAGGAGCGGGAAATACTTGTCATGTGACTATAATGATAACACGTTCTAGAAGTACCGTCCTCGGTAACGTTCCATAAATTTTAAGTGAACAATCGAGATAGCACCGCTCATATCACAATGACTCGCGTTATTCGCGACATTCCCGCCGCAAAAAAGAAATAAACTAAATTAATGAACATATGTTTATATAAATTCCAGATGTGTTTTTAAGTTTCAAAGAGTACAATTGTGACTTCATCATCTGAATGACTGTCGGTTGCAATATTAAAGTAGTCCTGCAATCCAGACGGTACTAACTGAAATCTTGACACTTATTCCAATGAAATGCTGTTATCAGGTTGCACTTTATCAGTATCTAATATATTCATTGTATCTTTGACTTTGTACGAAAGGAATGTGTAATCACAATCGTCATAATAATATTTTCCTGAATATCTAACTCTAATTCTTCAGCACTTATCTTTCTTGCATAAAAAATTTCATTATTGTTGAAATCCATATCTTCATTTGTGTTGATTACTTTCATTGCATTTGCAAATATTTCGGCAGTAGTTGTATTTTCTTCAACATCTGATATGTTTTCTGTCATTGGAAGATAGGGAGATCTTACTTGTTTTGTTTCAGTTGTGATGTTATTTTCTGTGATTTCTGTGTTGATTTTGTATGATAATTTCTTTGCATCAGTTTTTGTCATTAGATGAACCTTTTCTAAATGTTTTATTAGGTAGTGTCTCCTTTTTAGTTTGACTTTGCACCCAGTTATAATGCATGTGTAAAATTTGTTTTCCGGAGAATGAATTTCTTGGACATGTCGTTGTAATGATTTATTATTGCTATAAAAGCGTCGACAGAATTTAAATTTACAATAATACATCTTGATTTGATTATTTCGCAGTAAGCATCCAAAATCTAATGAAGTAAATATGGAATGTAAAGAGATTTTTATAATGTTTGGACACCGTTGCACGTGATTTTCGTGAATTTGCATTGGCAATTATTAAATCCCAAATCAATGTTTGGTACTGTTGCACAGAATTCGCGCATGAATGATCAGCAGTCAATTATCAAGTTTTACAAACAATGTGACCGTCGCATGATATTTTTATAGCAACTAAAGCCTAATCCAATAAATATGCGTATGACCTCTTTTGAAAAGGGTCATTGAAGCTCACTACATGGAAAAATGTTTTATATACTTAAAATGTTATTTATTGAACGAATTTAATAAGAGTTTTTGATTTTATTTAATTTAATATTGATACTTTTGAATTTCTTTTAGCCAACTTTTCATTTTTAGCTATTTATTTAGTGCTGTGTCTTTTCATTTATTGTTATCACTCAACAACTGTTTGATTTTACATTTTGCTTTTATCGCTGCTTGTCTTTGACAACGAGAAACAATTGTATTTTTACAACGTTCAGAAGTTTCATCTTTTAACTCTGATTGTTGTTCTTCTCCCGAAACTTCTAATGGGTAAAGCAAATTTAACGGCCGTCCTAGTTCATTTCCAGATGAAATTAAAACTTTAGCTGAACGACATTCATCATCTCTACTTTTAATCAATTTTGTAATTTTTCCAAACTTCCAATTTCCTCTTGAAGTATCATCTTTAACTAACACTATATCTCCAATTTTAGGTTTAAACTGCATTTGACCCGGGTGATTTTTAAACGTGTTTTGGTATCTTTCTCGGAGACTTAGTAAATATTCGTCTTTCCAAGTTTTCCAAAATATATCCAATAACCTTTGCCCTTTTTTCAGGAGTTTAAGTAAATTATCTTTTGTGCTTTCAATTGGAATATAATCGTCATCACTGTCGATTTCTAATTCAGGAATCCCAATTTTCGGATTATTTGACAGAAAATGAGCAGGAGTGATAGGGATATTAGAATGCAGGTCATCTCCAACATAAACTAAAGGTCTTGAATTTATGACTGCTTTTATCTCTTTAATAAGAGTTTGTAACTGCACTATTGATAACATTTTTCTACCAATAGCTTTCTTTAATGACCTTTTTACTAAAGCAACTAGCCTTTCGTAAAAGCCTCCCATCCAGGGAGACAACTCTACGTTAAACATCCATTTTATACCAGCATTTGAAACATAACTCATTATTTCAGCATTTTTAGGAATTTTATTCCAAAGATGATCAAGAATTTTATCTGCCGTACGAAATTGTAAGGCATTGTCACTGATAATAAGGGTAGGAAAACCTCTTTGTGCTACAAATCTTCTGAAACACATGAGAAATTCAGCTGTTGTCATGTCACATACAATTTCTAGATGAATTGCTCTCGTCATAAGGCATGTGAACAGGCAAATCCAAACTTTCTTTTCACTGTCTTTATTTGTTTTTGAATATAAAGGACCCATGTAATCTATTCCAATTCTAGAAAATGGAATACCTTCGGTTACACGGGATTTTGGATATGAGCAAAACGGTGGCATCTTGTACGGGCCACCTTCAAATCGGCGACAGATCATACATGATTTTAACACTGATTTAACAATAGCACGACCATGCGGAATCCAAAAGCGATTTCGCACTACAGACAACGTTTGTGAAACATCACTATGAAGAATTTCTGTATGTGTTTTTAGCTACAATAAGACGTGTATACCAGTCATATTTTGGAAGAAGTATCGGAACAACGTTCACTTTCACTTATGTCAGCATTTTCAAGTCGCCCTTACAGCGTAGGATTCCGTATGTATCAATGTAAATTCCAAGCTGTTGTTGAATATTGTTTTGCTTACCACAAGAAATGGCGTCAAATACGTCTTTGTAATATAATCTTTGAATGTGTCTTATCGACATGTTTTCAGACTCTTTAATTTCGTCACATGTGATATACCTTGTTGGTATTTTTCTTTTGTAGTTTTCTCACAAAATCTTAGCACAAGAGCAGTAACTCTAAGAAGTTTTGTAAGTGAAGAGAACCGTTGGCTGTTTATTGTTAATAGACCAGTATTTTCATCTGAACTAGTGTTTTCAATTGTATTTGTGCCACGCGATGGTTGTACCAAACTAATCTCACTAGGTTTCTTTAATTTACGTATCTCAGATTCATAACTGTTATCTTCTTTGTTATTATGCGGAACTTTAAATTGGGGCCATTCACCTGGCTCACTTTTAAGCCAAGCTGGGCCTTCCCACCAAAGTTTGTTATTCATAAGATTTTGGCCACGAGATGCAATATCTGCTGGATTGTCTTTAGATGGAACATAGGATATTGTAACATTTTCTGAAATCTTCTTTATTTCATTAACACGGTTTTTAACGAATACTGATAATTGCTTTTTTGTATGTAACCAATGTAGAACACATTGCGAATCAGTCCATATGGATGAATCAAGTATTGGTAAATGAAGATGACTCTTAACAAACTGTAAACATCGTAAACCTATAACAAGAGCTAAGAGTTCTAGTCTTGTAATTGAGAGCTTTTTCAAAGGTACTAAACGTGTTTTTGAAAAGATGAGATCTACTTTTGTTGTATCTTCTGACCGTTGATGTAAGTATACTGCAACAGCGTACGCTTTTTGTGATGCATCGCAGAAACATACAATGCGATATTCAACGAGTTGTGAACAGTTTGCAGATATAGATCTTGGTATACAGACATGTTCCACATTCATCAGTTGTTTCTCTAATGAGATCCATTTCTTTTGATCATCATCACTGAGGGCATCATCCCACTCTAGGTGTTTATTCCACAGTTCTTGTAGAAAATATTTAGCATCAAGGATAACAGGACTAATCAAGCCTAGTGGATCGAAAATGGATGCAATGTATTTTAGAATTTCCCTTTTTGGTAGCATGAAGACTATGGCATAGCATTTTTGCAGAACGATATGAAAGAGTATCACTTTCCAAGTTCCATTCAAGCCTAGCACTTTCATTGATTTCACTTCTGCACGGTCTTCAGAAGAAAAGAGTGAATTGACCTCTTCATTATTTGAAGCCCATTCTCTTAGATTCATAGATCCAGCATTGAATATAGTTATTGCATCTTTATAAAGAATCTTCGCTTCTGTTATGTATTTTGCACCTGTATATCATATTATCCACGTAGATATCGTTTTTTATTTTGTTTGATATTTCATTATGAAAAGTGTCAAGATGATGTTCAATTGTGGCACCAAGAAGAAAAGGACTTGACACAACTCCAAACGGTACCGACAAAAGCGAAACTCTTGTATGTTACATGCGTTAGTCATTGGATTGTCAAATATCTTTTAACCATAAGAACCTTGTATCATCACGTTGATCTCTTTGAAGTTCTATTTGAAGGAACGCCCTCTCGATGTCGGCTACAATTGCGATCGGATGTTTTCGAAATCTCAACAATATTCCACATAAGCCATGAACCATAACAGGACCGCGATACAAGCAGTCGTTCAGACTGTTATTTTCTTTTGAAGTCTTTGCCGATGCATCGTATACTACCCGAAGTTTGGTTGTTGTTTTTTGTGGTGTAATGACTCCATGGTGAGCTAGGTAATGCACAGTACCGTTTGATTTATTTGGTTTGACTTCTTCTATTATACCTTTCTGGAGTTGATCTTGAATCACATTATGATACTTTGTTAGTATGTCTGGATTGTTTTTCATACGATTTACTGTTGATTTTAATCTACCTAATGCTAAATCTCTATTTGTCGGTAAATCGGGAGTCTCATTTTTCCACGGCCACTTTACTTGGTATCTGCCGTTTTCATACTTAAGCGTTCTAGTAAAGTCTTCCCTGACTAGATCGTCTTCTTTTGTGACTCTTTATCTACAATTCCAATTACTATCAACGTTCCAAAAGTCTTCCTAGTTCTGTCTTTGGTGATAGTACATATCTATAGTAGTGAATGCATTTTGTTACTGTTCTGTTTACTGCCATATGTTAGAATAAGCAAATTATTGTCATTTGAATAATCGTATGTGTCCTTTATTCTACCACTTAGTATCCATTCCAAACTTAGACGAAAGCAAATAAAGTCCATTTTGAAGTTTCTAATTTTTCACCATTTACAAAGTCTAGGTAGTAGTCGTTTCCAATCAAGAACTCAATTGACGAAGATTCACTTTCTTTTGGCATGGTGTCCGCCAATTGTACAGTTGATAGAATATCATTCACTCTATCTGAAAAACAGATCTGATGTTGGTTTCCTCTGTAATTCACCACTAATTAAAGGAACTATATTGCCAGTGATTTGCACATATTTACCATTATTTAGCCTCACATCAACCTTTACGTATTTTGTTTTAATTGTTTTTGCTTTTGTATTCCCGAAAGTCACGACATGGATTTCTTGTTCACCTTCCCCTTTTAGGCATAACCTTTGAGTTAATTTTTCTGGAAATATAGCTTCGATGCGACCCAGAATCAAGTAATACTCGTACTTCTGTATCAGTTCTTTCACTTGGGTTTTTTATTTTTGTTAGTGCAGTTTGCATAAGAACCATTTCGTTCATTGACATTAGTCCATTATCATTTCTTACATGAAATGAGTTTGTCATTGTATCTGATTCTGCTGCTTTATCAGATATAACATCTGTTGACATATTTGAAATTGTCCGTTGGACGGTGAACTTCTTTGGACACAAGCTGCGATGGTGGGCGTTCATTTTGTCACAGTACACACACTTCTTGTTTGATTTACAATCTAAAGATAAATGTCCTTCCTTTAGGCACCTGAAACAACGGCCTTTTATGCGATCTTTTCTTTCAATTATTATCTTGTATGTAGTACACTCATCGCTCCAGCGATTTTGATTACAATATCGGCACCGTTTAATTGGATGCACGACGGTGCTGACTGGCTTCCGTTGTTGTCTAGAAGTAGAAACTAGCGCCTGCGTTGATGTTTTCTGTACCGGTCCTTTGTAATATGTACTTTCTGCTTTTGTATGTGTGAAAGACCTTGCGTTGAATGTTTTTGAAGATGTATTGTCTCTTTGTTTAGAAGCTCCTGTTAGGGCTCTTTTCACGTGCTACAATGTAAGCATACAATTTTTCCATTAACGTACGTACCGTCCATCTTTTGTCAGTTCCATTTTGTATTTCCAAATGTACTAGCACATCTTCAGGCAACTTTGATTTGACTATAGATACTACTATGTCCTGGTTTACATTTTCTTCTAAAACTTCCAACTCCTTATATGTTGATCAACACCATCAAGCAAACATCGTAAACTATTGACTTTACTTGTAGCGATTGGAATGTTAATAAGCTGACTGTAATGCAAGTCAATAATTTCCTGTGTATTACCGAATCCCTTTCTCAAGATTATCCACCGGCATTATGTAATTGTCACTAGTTAATGCCAACCCTGTTATCGCAGATTTTTGCTTCGCCAACTAGTTTTCCCTTCAGATAGTTTAAACTTTTCAACATTTGATATGTATTTGTTGTTTATGTACAGCATTTTTGAAGCTGTCCCAAAAATTCTGTCCATCTTGTTTTGCTCACCATTAAAAACTGATCATATCTATCTTTGGAAGCTTAATTGATGACATTTTCTCATTTTCTTTACGTTTTTCTTTTTCTTGTTGTCTCATCTGAGCTTCAAGTAACTGTTGAATGTTCTTTTGGACCTCCACTAAATCATGGGTGTAATCCTTTTGATCAACTTTAAATTATAATTTTTCTTTACTTTTCATCAACGTTTTCTAGTGAACACTTGTAAATTTTGAACACATGTCGAAGGCTTTTTCACACAAGGTGAGATCTTTGTCAATAATTTCCTCAATCATCTCTCGCTTTCTTGTTTGTCAATCGATTCCACTAATTTTTCACTTTGTCTCTCAACCTTTTCTTTATATTCTTTTACCTTCTCAAAACATTTCGACACTTCGTTAAGCATTCTGTCTAAATCAAATTCCTCATCGATTTCTGTGTCCAACAGACCATCACCCTTTTGTATTTCTAAGTCTAAAATATTTCGGAACCTGGTCCTTACACCTTTAATATATTGTATATTCGCCATTTTCTGATGTAGAGAAATTTAATTATATTTGTTTCACTACACTTTTTATACTTAAAACACCTTTTAATCTACTTTCTTCTTGTACTAACTTTGTACACACTTTTGACTTTAAATCGAATATTTTACATCTTTTTACTCTATAATTCCAGACATTTTTATAAAGGCAAATGCTTTTTTAAAACATGATTTTTTGTCTGTCTTTTCTAACTTTTCAATAAAGCCAACTTTCAACAGTCTTTCTGTTGATATTTAAGAACTCTATTTACCTTTAAACTTTGTTTCCTTTTCACTTTTAGACTGTTCCGTTTAACTTCTTTTCTCGACTTTTACAATTCTTTAATTTGTCTACATTAGATTCAAGAAGAGTTTTATACACTTTAACTTTAACCAGTTTTTAAATCCTTTTCTTATTTATCTACTCCTTAGCTTTGTAAAATGTTTCTTTTTAAATTTCCAAGTTTTTAAGATCCATAATTTTTCGTTTAACTGTATATCCGTATATCCGTAGATCCGTATATCCGGTTCGCAGGACCATTTTGTAGTAGAGACAGATTTTGTTTTTGAGGACTGTATTAACTTTTAAGTCATCTCATACTACAAATTGAACAACAACGTATACAGTTTTCATAATTTTATTTATCATATCACTTTATGCATAACCAAGAAAAATACTTTGTAAAATGTAATTCCTTTTATTGTCACTTTTTATAAAATAGATTTAATTTTTCTTTAACAGTTTACTCTAGCACTTTTCGTTTCGTTCTCACTGTTCAACAATGTGCGATCGCTTATATACTGTCTGAAAAGGAGCGGGAAATACTTGTCATGTGACTATAATGATAACACGTTCTCGAAGTACCGTCCTCGGTACCGTTCCATAAATTTTAAGTGAACAATCGAGATAGCACCGCTCATATCACAATGACTCGCGTTATTCGCGACACCTATACCGATACGTAAATTTATGATATAACTTTGCCGCTGGGAGTATAAACCAGGAAGCTTCTCCATAAATAAATTTGTATGTTCTTTTAAAGAGTTAAACGGTTAATTTATTAAAGACGGGTGACGTCTGACAGCTCGCACTTCTGTCATTCTGTCGGCCAAAATGTTATAGAACCAATTACAGTATTATTAAAATGATAACATGGAAATTCCACCACTCTAAACTATATCAAATGGCAGCCATTAATTATCATTTGATTTGCATATATAGTAATATCTACATTATAAAATACATTTAATTATCTGCTCACACATATTACAGTAACTGTTGGCTGTTCCGGTATCACGTGTTATAACGGAGGATCTGTTCACAATGATACTTGTAGTTGTCTATGTAATGAAGGATTCTCGGGATATTTCTGTGAATATAGTAAGTTTCTTTAAAAAAAAAATAGAAAAAAAGTTTTCCTTATATTACATATTGTAGCCAGCATTACTGCATATTAAGTAAATTGTTATTGTCTTACAGGTAAATTGTCTTTAGAAATGAATTCAAAATAATGTAAGTGATATCTTTTGACATATCTTATACAACTTTATTTAGTTCGATTGTGTTGGAAACTACACAGTAAGCTTATATTTAAACACTCTTGAATCAGTTCCTGGAACCAACATGCACTAAGCAATGGGAAATAACGGCTTGTCCATGTCTGGATTTGAACCCACACAGCTAGCAGTCCTAAGATTCCATCTTTAATAAAACTCGGCAAACATTAGTATAGTTTTTATTCCCCGAAGATAATACAATCAAAACAACATTGGCCTTAATTATCTGTAAATTGTCTGTAGGTTGTCAGTTTGCTTTAAACATGTTTGCCGTTTATTAAGATACATTTTACATAATGTTAACAAAGTTTGTTATTTAAAAAAAAGAAGGAAATGATATTGCGTGTCTTGTTTTCAGTTTTGGAACAAAGTGATTGGCCAACTGGTCCATATTGGTTGTTGATGCCTGACACTGGTTGTCCAGAAACTAAGAGACATGGATGGGACATTGGTTACATAAAATTTCGAACAAATGAAACAATACAAGCCGACCATGGTTCTGTCTACAAAACGTCAAATATATCCGTGGTTCTTCAGCCAAAATTATTTCAAATTAATTTCTGTTATAAATCTGGCGAGCGGAAGAATACAGTTTCATGGCCAAATGGCGACTACTCTATCTTTGGAGTGGAAAATAATTTGTCCTCCAGGTATTGTAAAATGTCATAGCATGTTCAAATCCATTTCTTCTTAAAGCATAAACTGCTTCTTTTGAATAGATTTGCTCAGCAATCCATTCAAATTTTAATGGAGTTCAGTATCAGAATACAAACATTGAGATACCATCAGTATGGAGCTTGGTCAGACTGCAGAGATGTGCTATATTGATGGCAAAGGCTCTTAACCTCCGGTTCTAGAAACATTGGGGTAACACTTTGTACGAGTCCTGGGAACAAATGCCTTTACTATATACTTGTAACACTTATATTATTTTAAGTGTTTGCATGTTGTTGTATACCTATATTGTTTTTCAGCAATATTCATATTATATCTTGTACACGATTTATCCCTGTAGATTTTCGGGAATATGTGATTGGTTTTTATTTGCCACCACTATTGAACATGATAAAAGATGGATATGTACCGGAAGTACAATTAGACGAGAATACAGAAGACTACGCAGAAACATCAGCAGGTTTGATAGACAATTTTACGTTCATGTACAATCTTGAAATGTATGCAATACATGTATCTAATATCCGAACATCAAAAACATAAACGTTAACACCCTGAAATATAGTGATTGATTGAAAATTTATGAAATGACTGACTAACTTATTGCTTATATGATTGCGTAACTGATTGATTGATTGATTAATTGGTCAGTTGATTGATTGATTGATTCATTCATTCATTGATTGTAAGTATATTTACCGAATAATATGATAAATATCATTCTAGAAGACAATATTGAACTTATCGTTAGCTGAAAATTTAGAATATAATGATAATGATAATGATAATAATAATAATAATAATTATAATAATAATAATAATAAAGAGAGAACTCATTTGAACAAACATATCAATCATCCATGAGGCCCTCAACAAGGAACAATATAAATTTAACATATTCAAACTATTAAAATACATAAATGTAAAAACATACAGGAGATTATCAATTTGTATACATCAATGTGTGATAATATCTCAAGTATAAGGTTTTAAAATGGTTAACAGATGTAGCAGATTTTATATGATCAGGAAGGTCGTTCCAAATACAAGATCCAGAATAAACAAAAGGCTTACGAAATTGTTCAGTATTTGGTCTAGGGGTATAAGTTGAAAATCAGACGATGAACACAAAATGCGAGTATGAACATCTGACGATAAAATGAAATTATTCAATAAATAGGAAAGCGCCTGATTATTCACTATTTTAAACATTATTATGTTATATCTTAGTCGTTGTAATTGTAATCACAATATTATAATAAACAACAGAAGTTACAACAGCAACATTTGTAAACTATAATAAAAATTGAATATTTCTAGAAGTATTTTTTCGTACTTTAGTTCCATAATGTTATCATTTAAATGTGAGTAGTAGGCAGAAACGTTGGTTTGTAGTAATATATAATATATATCATCACGTGATCTTGTCAAAGTAAAATATTTTTTTTTATTTATGTATATTATCAATAACCGTTGTATGGACATATATTGGAACATGTTTTACATATATATTTGTACATATATTCATCCAGGAATATTTGTGAAGTTTACATACTGTGTACATAGCAGGGATGGAAATAGACCATTTATACTACCAATGGGCACACCGAGTCCTATACTTTTGATGGAGGTTTATCTTTTATATATTATTACAGTATACATGTATATTATGAACGTTAGAGGGTATAGACCAAAAAGCATTCCGTTTGCAGACAGGAAGTGTATAATTTGTAACAAATTTGAAGACGAGTTTCATTTTATTTTAGAATGTTTATATAAAGTTTCGATACAAAATTAATGAGATTTTCGGTTTGTCTTAAAACAAATAACCGTTCTTTGTCGGTCCGTCCGTTCATCGTCTTACTTTGAATGCATATACATAAACGAGCAGATAACATCGACTATTTTGGAATCAATGAGCCAAATTATTTTTGAATTGTAGAGTTGTTCTGTTACGAAAACCCTGTTCGAGAATCATATGAAAACAGGGAAAACAGTACACGAAAAAAAATGTGGAAAAATTGTAATATCTTGACCTTTTTTCGCTTATGATTCTAGCGCCAGTAACAGTTTCCGCTATCATCTTTTATATCATTATTTTGACTATGAGAGGTCTTGTCGACGTTGTGGTTACTTTATTTCTTAAATTTCTGCCAATTTAACATATGTAATATTAACCGATAAAGCTCCAGGCACGTGCGGGAATCTGAGTAGAATCCGAGTAATACCACGGACGTTCTGTACTGTAAGCTAGCTTAATAACTTCCCCTTATTGAAAGATCAAAAGTCCACGGAGGGAGGAACAAGTGCACATGTCTGATTGCATTTGAAATAAGTTAATACAAAACGATGGTTTCACTAAGCTGGATTTTCCGAAAGGCACGTACTTCAAGATGACACACTTTTTAAGATGAATTATAAAGCTGACAGACATATGATGTGCATTTTGATAAAGGGAGACAATTAAATAATGTGAATTTTTTTCAGCATTACAGTGAAGAATGCTCTGAGGTCGAGAGTATGACGCTAGTTAAACAACAATTTCCCCTACCAGCTGTTTATATAATTGCGAACGGGTACCGAACTGTTGTCCATCAACATTGTTACTATATACCCAACATAAAAAGTTAGTTTGAAATTACTTCCTTTTTATTAATTTCACAAACTTATTAGCGTTAATACATCAAAAGTATGAAATGATACTATATAGTGTTTGCTAGAAACACCAATAAAATAATGATACATATGATGATGTTTCTTTTTCAGACGAGACT